GGGGGTCGGGTGGAGTTGCCGGCCGGGCAGCGAACCACAATTATGCCTGTGAAGCCCTTGACACAGTGAGCTACGCACTGCAAAAGGGAAGGAGGAGTTTCGCATGCAGTGCATATAGCTGGATCCTCTTCCGCGCTCAGCTAGGCGAGAGCCGAGCATGGCGTGATGAAAAATTTGATCTCTAGCCAATCACCTCGTATGTATGGATCCGTGTCAGGACGCAGATTCAAGCATGCAGCCAATCGGATTCCCCCACACCAAATCATTTGAGAGAAGTCTGCTTGGCAATGTTTTCCTTCCTGCACAAGTTCTTTCAGTGATATATGCCAGGGATGAGAGCTATGCAGAATGAATGGAATAGGATATGTCCATTAAATAATAAACATTTAATTAAAGTAGAACTATGAGGAGTGATTTTCACTTCACCTCGGAGTTCTAGCCGACGTCTGACAAACTGTCACGCGTACTCTCAATAGATCGGGAAGTGAGCGAACACATACCGTCGCTCGCTCACTTCTCGATCATGTGCCTGCAGAGAGCCGTGACCGTCACTCGTGGCTCCCTGCAGGGACTCCCCCCCCTCCTCCCCCAGGGCTGACTGGCAGAACGGACGGAGAGGGGCGCACACAGCTGGCTCTGCCTCTAGCTAGGCAGAGCCAGCTGTCAATCACGCAGCTGGGTGGATCTCGACAGTAATGTCGGGATCCGTCCTGGCTGCGGCCGTCTCAGTATACCACTGAGCTTTGGGCCACGGGAGGACGCTAGTCTATGTCCTCCCATGACGCTTAGGAGAAGTATGGGGAAAAGCACTGACCCCATAGTTCTTCTTTAAACTAATAGTTAGATACATACTTAATAATTACATTGAAAAATAGGATTTTTGTACTCACCGTAAAATCCTCTCTCTCCCCATTCATTGAAGGACACAGGGCAACAGATCATAGATCCTGTACTGTAGGGTATATCGCCACCTGCAGGAGAAGGACGCTATGCACACAAAAGACAAAGACAGCCTAGGGACAGGAGGAGCAACATGTGTAACCGCCTGAACAAAAAAGGAGCGAACTAAGGCGTTAGATGCCAAGGCCACTAGAAAAAGCACAGGCAATGAAGAAATTTGGCCCTTCACCGTGCTCAAGGCCAACCCTTGAGCCACACCGAGCTGCAAAAATGCAAGAATTCTGCTGATTGAGTCTAGACGCCAGAAGGTCCACATCTGGCAACCCCCAGCAAAGACAAAGCTGATGAAAAATGTCCGGGTGTAGGGACCATACTCCCGGGTCCACCGACTGGTACCTGAGGCAGTCGGCCTGCTAATTGTCTACCCCGGAATGTAAACCGCCGAGAGGGCCAGAACCTGACTCCCCGCCCAGGAGAGGATCCCGGACACCTCTCGACTTGCAGCTATGCTTTTGGAGCTTTTGGTGGTTGATGTATGCCACCGCGGTGTCGTAGTCCAACTGGACCCGAACCGACAGACCCCGAAGGCGTGTCGTCCAATGGAGAGATAGGCGAATCGCCCGAAGTTCCAATACATTTATCGATCCCCCGGTCCAGGGACAAGGGGGCATGTCCCACTGTAACAGGCTGTCCCAGGCTGAAGAGTCCTGGTGTGGTGCTGTGCAAAGAGCACCGCCTCGAAGGAGGCCACCATAAGGCCCAGGACCTGCATGCAAAAGCGAAAGGACGACTACTGGAACGGAGTTTCAGGAGCTAGTCCTGAGGAAGAAAAAAATAAATAAATCATGCCACAACAGTGTCCAGAACCAGGCCCTCCAGTCGCGGGGAAGGCACCAGACAAGACTTCTGGAAGTTCAGGATCCACCCGAACTCCCCCAAGGACCGCACAGTGACCTCCAGAGCAGTCACCAGAGAAGAGTGTGACAGTGCCCGCGGAAGATCGTCCCGATACCCCACGATCGAGATCCCCCAGCAACGCAACAGCGCCAGAACGCCCGCGGGGCCAACACCAGGCCGAAAGGCAGCGCCATGAACTGGAAGTGCTTTTCCCCCCACCGCAAAACGAAGATAATCGCTGATGACACAAATGGGCACATGAAGGTAGGCATCTTTGATGTCGACAGAGGCCAGCAGATCCCCCTGACGGAGATACGCCACTACGGACCTGATAGAATCCATCCGAAACCGACGGACCCGCACAAAAGTGTTCAAAACGTTTGAGACCCAGGATGGGCCGAACCCCCTCTTTCTTGGGCACGGTAAACAGGTCGGAAAAAAAAACCCCAAATCTTTCCGAGGACGGAACGGGCACAATCACCCCCTGGAACAAGAGGTCCGCCACCGCGCGGTGAAGATCCGCCAATCGTGGAGGGGAAAGCCCTGTGTTGGACTGGAAAAACCTGTTCCTGGGATAGGACAGAAATTCGATCTGGTAACCCGAAGAAAACCAAACCCCGCACCCGCGTGTCGGAGACGTGAGCCACCCAAAAATCCGCAAAAGGCCGAAGGCACCCCCCAACCTGGGACCCAGAGCTACATGTGGACAAGGGCTTGCTGGCGGGCTTGGCAGACTTAGGCTGCCAGGGGTGCTCGGCAGTCTGGGAGGAAGTTTGGAAAACTTACCGCCCTTCTCTGAGGGCGGCGAAAAAGCCATTTGTGAGCAGAAAAGGAGGGACCAGGCTTCTGCCGCTGTTCCTTCTTCTGCGTCTGAGGTAGGAAGCCACTCTTACTCCCCCGTCAATCCTTAATCTCATCTAAGGAAGTACCTATAAATGGTCCCCCGGTAAAGGGAAGCTCCGTCAGAACTTTCTTGGAAGCCTGGTCAGCCGGCCAGCACTTGAGCCAAAGCAACCGGCGAAGCGTAACCGCCGACACCGACAGTGTCGACACCAGGGGTGCCGCATCCAGGGCACAGTTGCAGACATACCGAAGGCCCTGCACCAATTTTTCCGCCAATTCCACATAAGCGGGAGAAACATTTACCTCCGCAAGCCCCTGATGCAACATCTTTGCCCATACTATCAGAGTCTTGGAGACCAATGCAGAAGCCAGAACCGGGCGCATCAGGGCCCCTGAGTACATACTCCACAAGACCACCTCCGCTGTCCTATCGGTGGGGTCCCGAAAGGACGGGGGAGTCCTCCACCGGGATAACCGCAGCCTTGTTCAGGCGAGAAACCGGGGGGTCCACCGCAAGGGGGGGGGGGGGAACGTCGATTTAGCCAAAAAGGCCTCCTCAAAAGGAAAGCGAACAGAGAAACATCTCGGAACTGCGAATGATGTTGCAGGTTGCTTCCACTCTTTAGAAATGAAATAATTGAAAAAGGGGATGTAGGGAACACCCTAGCGTAACGCCTACCCTTAGGTGTCCCGAACTGAACTGGTGGCAATGCGGAAGAACCAGAAGTGTTTTTGGTGCATTGTCCGGGAAACGAAACCGGGTCAACTGCTTGGAAGGCAGCTATGCTTACCACTATAACAACACCAACGCTCCTTAAGTTTGAGGTTCTTCCTAACTGCCCGCATCAGCGTCGAGACCAATTCACGCTCCTGACCCAGGAGCGGTAGCCGCCGACTCGTCCTCAGTGCCCGACTCCGGTTGGGAGGAACCCCCCAGGAATAGGGCGAGGGGACACCGTGGAAAGCTCCCCTTCCTCCTCGGACTCCCCTGACAGGGCAGGGGAAGGCAACAGCAGAGTAAGTTTCTTAGGGGGCTTCTGCTTCAGTGCACGTTCAATTCGCATCACAAAGCCATCATTGGCAGAAGAAAAAAAAAACTTAAAAGGGACACCGCATTACTGCCCAAAACCCACCAAGGTCAAGAGCGCCTGCGAGAGAGGCGCCGACGTACAGGCCGCACAAAAAGGGGGGAATCAGAGGAATCAGCAGAAAGCAGCCCACAGCCCTCGCAAGGTATCGTGGGCGATGCGTTCCATGATACCTCGTGCACACCTCCCCACTGCCTCAGGAACAGGAGACTGTCACAGGCAGAGAGAGGGACCCCAGCAGTACTCACGACCCCCGCGTCTGAAACACCACAGCAGAGCGATTCGGAGCAGAGCTGTACACGTCTGGTCTGCAGACAGCCATGCTGAGGAAAGGAACGCCCCTTCCGCCCGTCCAAGCTAGGCCAGGTACCAGAGCTCCCTACAGGAAGTGACAGTGGCTGAATAGGGCGCCTGCCCTCAACGGAAATGGCGGCCGCGAACCCTCCGTAGGCTGCAACTCAGGCCGGGGGCTCAATTTTCAGACGTGGCCAAATTTAACCTCAGATATCCCCAGGACTCCTTGTGAAATAAACGAACAAGGATTGATCCTTCTAGCACAATAACAACCTGTGAAAGCTTAATCTGACCAAACAATGGGAAATCCAACAGAGGAACAATATCAATCTCTTTCCATAACCAAACTGGGAGTGTTCGTCCACAAATTAAGATCAGTAGCAGCTAAGAGCTGCTTGTTGCCTAGAAAAAAGTCCCTTCCATCCACACATGCAATGAGATTGGGATCAACATCTGTGATCTCCAGTCTTAAAAAAAAAAAAAAAAAAAAAAAAAAAAAAAAAAGTAC